GAAAGAGAAAGAGAAAGAGAAAGAGAAAGAGAAAGAAAGAGAAAGAGAAAGAAAGAGAGAGAGAATGAGAGAGAGAGAGAGAGAGAGAGAGAGAGAGAGACAGACAGACAGAGAGAGAGAGAGAATTCAAATAAACCTATAACTTCATTACTTAACGCTTCTTCACAGGAAAAAAAAAAATATTTGGCGGACTGTGATGCTAAAATACATAATATTTTTTTGTTTGCTCACCATTGCTGTAGGAGAAATACCTGTGATTGGCACAGAAATTCGCCGCCACATGAGCGATGTTTACAGTCTGTTACAAAGGGAAATAACCCCCGTCACGGTGACACAGGGATAGAAGTATACTGAGGAATTGCGGCACCACAGTTTTTTAACAGAACTCTAATTTTTTTATGGCACAGGACACTTTATAGTGATGAACAATTAGGTTAACTTAACTGGATCACCGGGCGTGAGCTTCACCAAAAACTAGCTCATAATCTATAATCTATAACCAGTTCACTCAGGGTTGTGGTTAGTTTACTTTGAGGGCTATGGTGTGTAGGAAGAAGCCAAGATATATGTCCCCCTTCATGTGAAAAACATCGTGGTCGATGAACACATAATCGGAGAGGTAGGGCAGGCCATGAGGTTCGTTTGCGACACTTCTGGTATACATCGGCTCCTCCAATTTGGACACACAACCTTCATGAGGATTAATGGGGTCCAGCAATACAATATAACAGAACCATAATACAACTTTACTTTGTCAAAACAAACCGGAGGGATCTACGAATGCGTAACGCGTAACGGATTTGGACGCGAAATAATAGTCCGCCGCACCATTTTTGAGGGAATACGTGAAATGACACAAGAGTATGCCAACAAAATGCTCATGCACCATAAATAGCGGCTTGCACTGGAACCAACAATAATTAGAACACGGCAGCATAGTTCTGCCGTCTTCGATTATGACGGTGTCGTGCTCCGCCACCTAAGGAAAAGCTTTCCGAAAGGCAAGGTGGTCGTCGAGAATAGCCTGTAGAATGTCAAGGAACCGATGGCCAAGGGACTGAATATGTTTTATATCCCCTTAGTTCGATCCGAAGACAGGGACATATACAGCATTAAATTCGTGTCAGGTTCCACGTCCGTTTGTCTAGCACTCATCAACCTCGTGGTGATGAACCCCTTTGCGAACGTCATCACTACCAATTACACGGTCACCCTTACCTGCCAGTCGCCGACGCTGACGTCGCTCTTCCCTGAATACTTCATTTAACCACGGTGGACTTTCAGGAACAAGTTCATGCCCCAGCTCGACGGAGTGGCGTAACTGAAGCTCAGTCCTTCGTCAGAGACTACAGGAATTTGGAAATGCTTCCAAGAAATAAGGGAGACCGGCGCTTTGTTCCACCTCAATGAAACCCACATCATGATGGTACAGACTAGAGCAGTACGAATAACTCATGATTCCAAAGCCGAATATAGTCAGAAAAACGTTATTTTGTATTTGGTGATTGTGAGTATCGTGATTACTGCCATAACGATTTTACTTAGTCTCTATCAGTCTGTTATGGAATTCCTTCGCGACAATGCAGAGAGTGACATCACCTCTGACAGCACCACCTCTTAGAGTAGTGTCACCTCT